ATTTTTTAATAACGAGACTAAAATTGATTTTATAATAATAATATACAGTTTAATTTTATAATAATAAAATTCAATCTGATCTTATAAGAACAAGATTCATTTTGATTTTATAATGAGAAGATTCAACTTGATTTCATAAAAATAAGGTTCAATTTTAATAATAAGATAAAAATTGATTTTATATTAATAATATACAGTTTAATTTTATAATAATCGTAAGATTCAACTTGGCCTTAAAATAATAAAATATAATTTAACTTTATAATAATAAAAAATTTGATTTAATAATAACAATATCCAATTTGATTTAACAATAACAGCATTTAATTTGATTTAATAACACTCAATTCGGTTTCACAACGAGAAACTCGATATTATAATAATAAAATGATATCTAGATTCTTCGATAACAAGCGTGTCATCGGACAAACGAGTTAATTGTTCTCGGTAACATGATTGTAATTATTTCCACCAAGCTAAATGTTCTTCAGAAATGTCCGTTTAAAAGTGGACCACTACTTTTGCCAGCGACCGCAAACGTAGCCGACCACGAACTCTATAGAAATCGATTTTCCCGTAACAACTGCTTTTGGCGTTGCCTGTTGGCCGATTTTCCCCGACTATTCTTACCGATCGTGAACGCTGAAGTAACCCGCTCGTTAGAAACGTATCACACGATGTAAACCGACACACATAAACTCCAATTTATCCCCATCTGACTACGTTTGTACAACATCGACGTTGTTGTACACCGTGTCGAATGCCATAAATCGATTCCAGGATACATTTGCATCGGACAACCGATAGCTAGCTATCGCATCTACATACCTTTCACGCTGTCTAATCGAAAGAAACGTATCATCAATACGACCGTACAACGTGCTATTATAACTGTTCAATAATTGAATATCATTGAGGTACAGCGATAGAGTATCATTGAGTACAGTGATAGAGAGCTTTTGGTATAGATGTTTATGGTACAGAAGGACATTTGCTTATTTTATGGGAACTCCGATTTTATTATTGTATATACCCCTTTGTTTATTTTGTTAATTTATTGCATATTTTTTATTATCAATGCATTCCACCATAGAAATTAGATATAACGTTATAGATATTGGAATTTGTGCTACGAGATTTTTTATGGATCTTTCCATGTCTAGAATAATATTTAGTTTTTATATATTGTAGTAGATATTTATTATATTTTAATATCTACTGTATTATATTTTAGTAGAAATTACGGAAATTCGTGAAAAAAAGTCGGGGGTGCTATTAACGGGATTCGAACTGGAGATCTTCGGATTTGTAGGCGTATATCTTATCCACTTTGCTATTACAAATTTAATGAAAATTTTTATTTTATTTTAATATTGAATTTGGAGATTCTTTGTAGCACCGAATATCTGATTTTTCTATTTCATAGAAATTAAAATTTATGAAAGAAAGGAGTGTCGTGAAATGGGGATCTGAACTCGAGATTTTATACGCAGGAATATAATCCATTTCGTTATCAATTCATTAGAGCGTTCTTACCTTTTTATTATTTAATTCGGAGATTCTCAATTTCCATCAAAATTAGACACCACGTTATAAATACTTGGTGTTGGAAAATCCCTATCATTTTTTCTTATGATTAAAATATTAATCGGTTTCCATATCTTTTACGAAATTATAGAAATTCAATAAAAAATGAAAATGTATTCTAACGGGATTTGAACTCGAGATCCTCACATTTGTAAACCATGTACTTTACCTATTGTACTATTTTCAATTTATTCGACTATTACTATTTTCTGTTATTAAATGTGACAGTTCTGAATTTTCTATAAAAATTAGACACTATATTATACATAGTTCGTGCAGGAAAATTTCTATCTTTTCTTTTATATCATCAAAATGTTAATTGGTTTCAATATCTTCTATGAAATTATAGAAGTTTAATAAAAAAAAAAATGTAAATTACCTCTGTCAGGGTTTGAACTCGAGATTCTCACATTTGCAAGCATGTACTTAACCTATTTTGCTACTGTCAATTTTTTGCAGTATTTTTATCATTTATTATTGAATTCAATGATTCTGAATTTTCATCAAAATTATACATGATGTTGGAAAACTATAATGTTTTCATATCCCCAAAATATTGATCGATTTCATATCCTCCACAAAATAACAGAAATTAAATAAAAAATATCTCTCAGCATCAGAACTCGAAATCTCATTTGCATATCCACCTCAGCTCAATTATTTCGCATCACTAATTCGACAACATTGCTACCCGTACTTTTTTTAAGAATCTGATTATTGTTATCGGAATCCCGTCACGCGTCACTCGACCCAAGATTGTTTCTCATTATTTTTAACAGAGCGTATTTAAAAAAAAAAAATGTCGGATTTCAGCCCGTTACATCGATCAACGTCGTTCAATCGTCCAATTTACAGTCAGGTTTATTTCATTTTAATCGGGCATACGGTGAACGTGCCGTTGTGTTCGATGCGAATTTGATTACGTCGGAGAATTGATGGCGGTCGATAAGTCACGTGAAATATGGATATGTTGAAGTTTATAAGATCCCTTCGCTCGTATACACTTCGCTGTAAATGCAAGTTTGAAGCAGATCGTCCACGAAGAAATAACGTGCTATCTCTTCGTGATGGAAAACTCCGCTGGAAACGTTTCGCCCTCCCTCCGCCTCGCCCCGGCGCGCCAAGCTTTCGCGAAATTCCTTTTTCGCGATGCGATGTCTCTCGACAGAATGACGAAAGTAAATTCGAACGAGGGTACGGAGAACTTTTAAATCGTCCGGGTAAATTCGAGGCGGGTTCGGCCAAGAATTTCCTCCATTTAACGAGCGAACTCCCGCGAAAAATCTGATGGAACTGAAGGATTTCAATCTCGAGTTTTTCGAGCAAAAAATTACGCGATTCGATTTGAAACACTGCCGTACGCGCGCTGCCAAAAAATGAAATAAACTAGAAAATTTTAATTTCCGCAAATTTTCAAGGATTTTATTCTTCCGACAGCGGTGAAATTTTTCCAAGAATTTCAATCTCGCGATTTGGCAGCCACCGAAATGACGCGATTTCATTAGCCGGACGATTTCGAACGAAACCGAAGGAATTTGAAAACGTTCGATTTTAAAAGCGAATTTCCAGAGAATCGTACCGCGGAATCTGTAATTTCTTTTACTCGCGGAATGGAATTCTGAAGTTCAGCAGATTCTTTTCTCGACGTGAACCAGTGCATGAGGCTCTCTCAAGTGAGATTGAGTGTAAGTCAGAAAAGTTGAGGAATCGTGCCACTCTCCTCTGTTCTTATTCGCCGAATTGAATGCCATGTTTGAAGTATTAACTTCCTGTATGTTGACGCGGAAGATAAAATGTTGGTACATTGTACCTTTCGTATCTCCCGTTTTCTTATTAAGATTCAAACTTGTCCCTTCGAAATTCTAAATATTTCTTGTTAATAAAATGGTTGGTTTCACAAACTCATTTTAAAAATCTTACTTTACGTGAATACAAAAATATTCTATTACTATACCTTTGAAAAACCAGACATTATTGCTTATGGTCTTAAGAAAAATGTCTGAAATGTTATCGAAGAAACGATAAATAAAACTGAACATTTAATATCTGTCGTTTCATTTAATTACCCGGCAACGTTAAATGAAATTATCCCGACTTACAAAGGATCGCAATCGCGAATAAAAAAGAAGATATTAAACCTGCATGTTATTCCTAGCCACAATGTAATTCGAGTGGCCAAACAGATTCCATAATTAATTTTCACGAGCCAGCGACCGCAAGTACGCCGACGCTTTTCCACCAGCCACCTAATTACAAATTTTGTTCCCCTTCGAAGGAGCATGACTCGCATGAACGAACTTCTATTCGTAATTCAACGAATCCTACTACGCGAAAATGGGATCTGTTTGTGTTGAGATTCTGTACATTGGTGCGAGGTAGCTAATCGCGAAGTTAGTATTTTTATTGGATACCTTTTATGATTCTGAGGGGATCAATTAGGTATACAACCCCATGAAGACCACTTCGCTTGTACAAATAAATATAGGAATATATTAAATGTAGTATTTAAATGTACAAACCGTGTCAGATACGAGTTTTTGTCTGAGGAGTAAACTTTTTTAAAATGAGCTAAACCCTAAGAAAAATAGTCCCAGTGACTATAGGGGTGACTGTGCAGAGGAGCTGAAATTGGTGTAATACCGTATACCTTTATTATAAGGTACAAGATTGAATAACACTATCATAAGAAGTGTAAGATCAAAGAAATTTAAGGTTTCTATTCATCAGTTATTTAGTTATTAATTTTAGTAAAATTGCCCGGTAAATGTGGTGTATATTGAAATATTGTCTGAATACAGTATTTATATATTGAGTCCCTAAGCCTATTAATTTGAGTAAAATTGCCAGGTAAATGTGTATATAGAGATATTAAAATATTGTCTGAATACAGTATTTATATACTGAGTCCCAAAACCTAATAATTTGAGTAAAATTGCCAGGTAAATCTGTATATAGAGATATTAAAATATTGTCTGAATACAGAATTTATATATACTGAGTCTGTAACCTATTAATTTGAGTAAAATTTCTGGGTAAATGTGTATATTGAAATATGAAAATATTATCTAAATATATTATTTATACATTGAGTTTCTAAGTCTATTAATTTGAGTAAAATTATTAGGTAAATGTGTATATTGAAATATGAAAATACTGTCTGAGTATTTAATCCTTAAACCTAACAAATACCATTCGCAAGAAAACTGTGTAAACCCACATTACGGTGCTCGGTATCGAAAAGCACGATAGAGAAGCGTCGTTAAATCAGCGTGAAACAATGAAGAACAAAAAAGAAATCCAAGCGAGCGACAAGTCATCGTCGTACACAAAGTTCCACGATTTCCGTTAGCGGATATCAGGGGCTACTAAACGTTTTCGTCATTGTTCGAGTAGTTTAGGTCAACGGCAATTACCTTGCTCGTAGCCGCAGCCCTTGTGTTTCCCGTTCAAAATGTCCTGGAACAGGGTTTTGTCGGCGTCGCTGTCGTGCAGTTTCGTTGACACGGCTACACAGAGGTTCTTAATGGCGTCCCATGCACAGTGCGGATCCTGAAGAGCCACGCAAGACGCACAGGTGGCCGCTGCCGGGGCATCGCAGTGATGAAGAGGAACAGCACGGATTTCGGAGTCAGCAAACACGACCAATTTGCTCGCCTCGCCGGCCAGGTGAACGACCAGCAGGTCCTTAATCGCTTGTCCTGGAACGTGAATGGAATTAACTGTTTCAATATCATACATTGATTACGCATTTGAAAATTTTATTATAGCTACTTTCTCTTGTAGAGCGTTAACCCTTTGCACTCCTCAATTTCTATTACCTACAACTCCTTCATTTACAAAATAAATGGGTCACTGATGATAGCAGTCGAGGCACTTATAAAATAAAATCAATCAATCAAAATAAATCAAAAAAGGGTTCTCAATAAAATATATTGCAACAGTATGAAGTATGTGACAAATACACTTTACATTTATTATAAATAGTAAATAAATGAAAAGATCAACCAATCTATTTATCTAAATTATTTATAAGATCAAAGAGAAATGTCGAGCCACATTCGACAGAGGACTGCAAAGGTTTAATTCTGATTTTTTATTATGAACATCATTATACTTTGACTTGCAAGTCTTTCAGTGTCAGGTTTTAAATGCTACAATGACATGTAAATAATAATATTAAAGTCAAACAATCTTTATTATTCTCAGAATGTAATTTTGATTGCAATACATTAATTGTAACTGAGTACTATAATGCTGCACATCGGTGGTGCCTGAGAAGCATCCCTGGAGCGTTAAGGGTTAACACGGTTGCATTGTTAGTGCATATATGCGTGGACATTTTCTGGTTATTACCCAAGTGCATATATGTGCACAATTTGTTTAGGGATTGTAGAGCAAATATGTACGCAATTAGAGAAGAGTGTTTGTGAACAAAATTTTGATAAGACGCAATTTTATAATTTTCTGTATGGTGTGAATTAACCTATAATTTTCTAGGTGGATAATTTTATGCAGATATTATAGATTTGAACACTGAGAATTTGACGTGATGTAGATTTGGATACTGAGGATTTGATGTGCTATAGATTTGAATATGGAGAATTTAACTTGCTAAGGATTGGAACATGGAGAGTTTGTTCAATTTGGAATTTGATGTATTGAAAGTTTAGAAGCTGAGAATTTTCTTAAATTTCTAAGTTTCTAAATCCAGAGCTTTTCAGTATTCTGAATTGCAATATTCTGAAGTTTCTAAATTCCTAAATTTCTAAATTTCCAAACTCTCAAATTTCCCAATCCCTAAATTTCCAAATTCTCAAATTTCCCAATACCTAAATTTCCAAACTTTCAAATTTCCCAATCCCTAAATTTCCAAACTTTCAAATTTCCCAATCCCTAAATTTCCAAATTCTCAAATTTCCCAGTCCCTAAATTTCCAAACTTTCAAATTTCCCAATCCCTAAATTTCCAACTTCTCAAATTCCCAAATCCCTAAATTTCTAAACTCTAAATAAATGAAAAGATCAACCAATCTATTTATCTAAATTATTTATAAGATCAAAGAGAAATGTCGAGCCACATTCGACAGAGGACTGCAAAGGTTTAATTCTGATTTTTTATTATGAACATCATTATACTTTGACTTGCAAGTCTTTCAGTGTCAGGTTTTAAATGCTACAATGACATGTAAATAATAATATTAAAGTCAAACAATCTTTATTATTCTCAGAATGTAATTTTGATTGCAATACATTAATTGTAACTGAGTACTATAATGCTGCACATCGGTGGTGCCTGAGAAGCATCCCTGGAGCGTTAAGGGTTAACACGGTTGCATTGTTAGTGCATATATGCGTGGACATTTTCTGGTTATTACCCAAGTGCATATATGTGCACAATTTGTTTAGGGATTGTAGAGCAAATATGTACGCAATTAGAGAAGAGTGTTTGTGAACAAAATTTTGATAAGACGCAATTTTATAATTTTCTGTATGGTGTGAATTAACCTATAATTTTCTAGGTGGATAATTTTATGCAGATATTATAGATTTGAACACTGAGAATTTGACGTGATGTAGATTTGGATACTGAGGATTTGATGTGCTATAGATTTGAATATGGAGAATTTAACTTGCTAAGGATTGGAACATGGAGAGTTTGTTCAATTTGGAATTTGATGTATTGAAAGTTTAGAAGCTGAGAATTTTCTTAAATTTCTAAGTTTCTAAATCCAGAGCTTTTCAGTATTCTGAATTGCAATATTCTGAAGTTTCTAAATTCCTAAATTTCTAAATTTCCAAACTCTCAAATTTCCCAATCCCTAAATTTCCAACTTCTCAAATTCCCAAATCCCTAAATTTCCAAATCCCTAAATTCCCAAATCCCTAAATTCCCAAATTCCTAAATTTCCAAATCATCACACTTTCAAATTTCTAAAATTCTAAATTCTCAAATCCCCCAAAACTTGTGTAACTTCCCAATCTACCTTAAATCCCCTCCTTTCCCTACCACCACCAAATTCCTAAAATTTCGAAGCCAGAAATTCGCAAATTTCGAACAATTTCCCAATTCACGGTCTGCTCATCTGTATTGAACTATTTCGCTTCTGTAAACCGCCCGCGGCGCCAGAGAGCGTCGCGACGCCCACAAATGGAAACCACTGTAACAAATTAATTCGCTGTTTGTTCCACCAACGAATTACCTCGTTTGTATAAAGGATATGGATGAAACTTACGTAGCAATTTTCAACGAACTTTGCGTCGACATACGGCAAATATATCATGCACGGCTATTTTTCTCTCGCAAAAACCTCGAATATTACGGAAACGTTAGCTACATTAATTACATAGCAGTATGTAACTGGATCGTTGGTTATCGCAGGTGCGTGCTATCGATCATGTCGCGTTGTTATTTAGGAATGGAAAAGTGCAAATATTTTTCCAGGTAAAACTTACCGTATTTCAGTACTTGAACGTCGCTGACGATAACCTGGCCGACATTGCTGAGAGAATCTGGTGCGCGAGTGTTGAGCGCTTTCAAAACCCGGCCGTCGTCTATGAATAATTATGAAATTATGATAATTAAATCCGTGAAGGTGTACCTGTTTTGTCGCTGGCGCAATTCTACGAACTCACCTGTTCCTACGTACAGGATGTCGTAGGCCTTGCCATCCAACGCTTTTACTTGAGGATCCACTGCCACCTTTGTAAATCTGTAACTGTTCACGTTTTATTATTAGCATAAAATTAATATGCTGTCATACTTAAGTTGAAATTTTTATTATGGACTATTTTTAAGTTTTAACAAATTTTTAGGTAGTTTAATTTTAATATTAATATTTTAATATTATTCAGAATCACGTCAGCTACCCCCTTCTTCAGGGACTGTGAGACACCGTGCATGTTTATTACATATGAACATTATAGTGTTATTTTGCAGTTCTACCTATTTTAATTTCACTACAGTTCTACAATTTCAAATTGCTCTCTGAAATGCATCTGGAACTTGTCAGAATTTTATATATAAAACATATAAAAAGAAAGAACTTACTTGAAGCTGACTTTGGTGACGACAGGCAACGCGAAAAAGGACTGAACAGCATCGTCCATGAGTGGATGCGCCTTAACGAAATTGACTGTCGCGTCCGGAAGTGTTCTGGAGTCTTTCACGCATGCACCAGGTCTGGGTTCCGGTACATTTTTCGATAGTACCCTTAGCCAATTGCTGTTGATGGTCTCCTGTTCTTTGAACGCACCCTGGAAGACTTCGAGGACGTTCTTCATCGAGAACGCGCAAACGGCCGAGCCACCGATCGAGTTCACGGGGGTCGTAAACACCCCATAAACCAACCGGGCACGCTCGCCGGCGTAAACACCTTCCGTGACGTCGCTCGTTGACTCTGAAATAATTGCGTATCGCTCGATAAAGCAGCAATTTTATTTGGTTAATTTAACGAGTCGCTCGCTCGCCAACAATTCCTCGTAAATTATTTTTCATTTATCGGGCAAACAATTTGACCACCTAATTTTTCAACCTTTGTATTACGAAGTAATGGTGTTTGTTTTATTATAATCAAGGTTTATTAGCAACATACGGCAACCTAGTTTTCTTGTTGTATTTAAGGAAATTTGGATTTTCGGAATTTTAATGTGGATGAAAGAAATCTATGGGTAATTATTTGGTTTTGTCATTTTGTAATTTTGGGCTTCATTTTGGATATTCCAATATAGGACTTAGTACTATTAATTCTGTACTTATGAAATTTGTAACTTTGTAATTTTACAATTCTGTGATTTTGAACATAATAATTTTATGATTCCTATAATTCCATAATTCTGGGTTTCGTAACTTGATAATTTAATATCTTGAATTTACTCATTAGCTGATTTGTCATGTCGCGGCCATTTTCATACGTCCCGGCCATTTCCATAAATCGCGGCCATGTATCAGGAGAATACGAAATGTGAGGAGGCAACAGGATGGCTATCCTTTCGGACCTTGCAGAGTAGTAGCGGCTACGGGGAGGCTTTATGCCCCCCCACTGCAGAGCCGCAACAGGGTAAGTGGTGTCCTGGGTGGGGGTCCAGGACGCCAGGCACGCTGCCCCAGGGGGGACGGCGGTGCCGCGGTGGTCCGGGCACTGCCGTAAAGATTAGTTTTGATTTTATGGTGGGGAGGTCTTTTCTGACCTCCCCCGAAGTAACAAAGAAGGACCACCGTGGGGGTTTTAGTGGGTAAAAATCCCACATAACCCCG